GGGGCGGAGAAAGGACAAAATTTGGGGGTGGGGGGACAATTTTGTCAGGTTCTTAACACAGCAAGCAAAAACACATATCCTAACTTTCGAACTTTGATCTTAGTCTTCCTATTATAGATCTGCAGGACCAATAATTGTGAACCTTAACATTTCAATTCAGATAACTCCGGTCAGCCCCCTGCATGCAAATGTACAAATTTTGACCCTGACGAGACATCAACTGTGCAGGAGACATGTGAGCCGCTACGTCACTACGACTACTTCAGTGGCAGCGAGGCCTCCTTTTTAGCCACCGTCATCATCATCATTCTTTCCATTCCAGGTCTGTTTTCTTGTTTGTTATCAATTGCTGGGATAACATTACAATATGAGACACGGAATACACCTTTCCGAATAAGGAATATCTCTGTCTGTTGGTTTAAAAATATCATGATCATATTATAAGAGCAACTGCTGAAATAAATGTTTTAACCACTGATGCTCCAATGATGTACATGATGAATTGATGTATGTGTATTAAAAACCTCTGTAAAAGGTGAAATTGTTTTACTTCCATAGCTACTATTGGCATGATGATGTTGATTGCCAAGCGAAGAAAAACTGCGCTGAATCAGGCTGGCCCGCGCCCAGCGACCAGGGTGGCCCACGGGAAAGACTTTTTTATTGGTAAATAATATTAAAATGCTATAAATGTATCTCAGAAATTCCCATGCGAAAACTTGCGCTAACTTTCTTTTTTGTTGTTGTTGTTGCTTAAAATACTTAAATTGGGAATTTTAAAAAAATTGTTTGTTACGTTTTTTTTTATTGATGTGTTAAGTCCTTCTCTATGCCTACATGGTAGGGTGATTTTTCTGAAGAGAAGGTACAGATGTAGTAAATAGAAATATTCAAAATAATCATTATGAGAAAAAGAAAAACACAGAAAAGGAAAGGAGATGAAAAGAGCGGGAACAAGAGAAGTTGAAAGAAGAGGTGAAGAGGGAAGAGGGGGGGGGGAGAGAAAGAAATACAATAAGAACAATAAGGAGAACAGTAAGAACAAGTAGGCGTGCATCAACACAAACAATATGAAAAATAAAAAATAAATAGAAGTAGGAGGGAAGGAAACGCTGCCTGGGAGAAAGATGAAGCGATATGTCAAAAGACTCATGTATTCATGTAGAGCTCTTCTCCAGCTTAGCCCTTTAGTCAAGTACTTGATTTCTATAAACAGTATTCCTTCAGTCATCCTTTTTCGCCCACAGCTACTGAATGGGTGGGGCGTAGCCCAACTGGAGCGCTGGTCAGTCGTGACGTGAAGATCCAAACTAACACTCAACGCATGAAGGTGCTAGTGTCTAATCCGAGGGGCCAGGTGTTCCGCATGATCGACCTGCGCACTTCCGGTTCCGCAGAGAGCGGCCAACATAAGGCTTTGGTCACCAGGTCCAGGGACAAAAACAATCGCCTCCTGATGTTAGCTGTACCGGGGGAGATCGATCTGGTGAGAACACTGGTCATGTGGTTTACTCCTGAATATTGACATTGTTAATGTCTGGCATGGTCGCCTAAGACAAGAAAGATGTCGAGTCAATGATCCCTCCAATTTGTAATAATCTAAATAGCATGTCATTTAGAATGGTAATTCAATTTTAAAGATGGAGAGAATTCATATATCATGAACGCTTTTAGTTGTGTGTCTTAAACTGTTGGTTACATCTGGAATTTAAATGAATCGTGTAATTTAAAAGCTGTCTGAGCAGCTCTGGTTAGGTTTATGTTATTTGTCACTTGTAGTTGTGTTGGGGGCAATGATAAGGTTAACAATAACTAGAAAAAGAGGAGAAGAATGACGGGGTTGGGAGAGGAGGAGAAAGTAGAGAATGAGAAGACATTAACTTCATACCAAGGAGAGGGCAAAGGGTGGATGGAACGTGTACTTGTTTCTGTCCCATTCAGATCAGTGAGGAAGTACCTGCGGTTTAGCAGCAGGTTAATCTGTCTTAGATAGAAAACGGATTTTAGTTCAGGTTTCAGATTTGAAAGCATAATATATTTCTATTAATTAATTTAATTTAAGAATGGTCAGGGCTCTATAGTACCGTATGTCCTTGCTGTGGCTACATGGTGTCAAAGTAGAATCAACAGATTTGTCTCATTTGTATTTTATGAAAAGGTTGTGGAGCTACGAATTTATATTTGTCTCTGGAAAAATATAAGGGAACCCAAAAATCTCCAGCTCTTAATATTCATGAAGGTTTTGCAGATGCAATTTATTGTTTACTGCCATGGTTATGGTGAACGATGTCGCCTATTAATTAAATGAGTCAGAGACTCTGTTATTTGTTAGTTTTGTTTTTTAATTTACTTTAAACATCTTTCTTTTTCTTCCTGCCGCAGGTCTTACACTTTACATCACAGGGAGAGAGGGACGACGCTTTTGCCAAATTCAGACAGTTTTTTAAAGAGCAAGGCTGGACTTTCAATGAAGGTAATAACTGTAGGCAGTACGTACGCCGCGCGGTCCTGGCCACGTGCGAGGGCATACTCACATACTCTGGTTTAGGGGCCATACTATAAATAAATCTGTTGCGCACCTGATGCAGATTTATCCTCCTCAAATAGTGTCATAATTATAAACGCAGACATCATTCATTGTGGTCTATCAGCTCTGTCTTCTCTTCTTCTTTTTTGCTTCGTCACTCTTACTATTGGGTCTAATGCCCCATCTCTGAAGTCACCCATTTATGTCTAGAAGAGATTTAGCGCATACAAAGTATCAGAGAAAACTCACAATGAGGCACACGTGCTTCATCTCATAACCAAACAAAAATATTGTCCGGAAATCTGAACATTTCGGGGTTTGCTTGAGTATGGATTGAAGAATGGAATCTCATTTGGTCTTATAAAGACAAATTCTTAAGAATTTTTAAGAGTTCTTGAAGAGTTGTCATGGATAGTCTTGGTCAAGGTTCTTTTTGTCCTTTACCACTCCCAAAGCAGGGTTGTTGTTACTAAAACCAACGCCAAACAATGGACAAATTCAGAATATACACAAGGACGTTTTGCGTCTTCCGTCTAAATTGCTTTTTCATACATGTTTTACTAATATTATCTGTCACAAAGACTTTGTTATCCCATCTAAAGAAGAGAATTATGAAAAAAAAAAGTTCTTAATAGTTCATTAATTTCTTCGGTTCAGGGAGGAAAGAGTAGCTTATGAAAGCAGTACCTAAAGGGGATTCATAGGAAGTATACTTGTGAAAATGATGTCTGTCACCAGGCCCCAGCATGGATGAGCACATAATGTGGAGAGAAGCTTTCACGATTGACCAGAGACGGGAAGTGCTTACTAGGTTTTTCAAAAGTATCCTCGACGCCGTGAGTATGATGATAATGTTGGGTTTTTTGTATGCGGTTCTCTCCTCCACGTTTTTCATCATTATTGCCTC